GGGCTCCTGGTGAGAATCATAGTTGATGTGTTTCAAAGCCATATCTTTTTTTTTTTTACCCTCTGTGCCCAGATGTTATTATAGAAGTTACTCTGTTTATTAGCAAATGTATATCAAAGCTACTTGTTTCCACTTCTTTATAAATTTGGGTCCTGCTCCCCACCTCCATGCAAATGGAGACAGAAAACTGAAATCCATGAGTAAGCACACAGATGTATACATGGGGATATTGGTTTAACTTATTTTAAAAAGACCATTAAGATTATACTGTCATCAGCTCAGGCATGTATCCTGGTGGTATCAGATGTCATTGATAATTTCATTAAGAAAGAAAACAGAAATCTTGGTCACCTAGACTTCAGCCCCTGACTGTCTGAAGCTTCTCAGCTGCCATCCTTGGAGCCCTCTTCCTAGCCCTGGCAAGCTTGCAAAAATATACAAGTGTCTTGCCTTCATCAAACACTCAATTTCTTTTCCCCACAGTTGTTTATAAACTTGAGAGCCCACAGCAATGTTTTAATTCCATCCACAGTATATAAATCTTGGAGCCCAGCACTCGAGCCAGAGCAGGATGGTGAGCAGTACTTGGTCTGTCAGGGACAGCTACAGTTTGGGGGAGGATTAAAGGGCAGAAGGAGCAGGTTTGGCCTCTGGGGTTCAGATGACAGATTCTATATCATTGTGTACTGGTCTAGGAAGATTTCACTAAGTGCCTAAAAAGCAGAAGAACCTTATTCTAACTGTTCTTCCTTGTTTTTTTCAGATAGTAAATTTAACAGCAGTTAGAAGCTTGGAGAAGGGGCCAACACTGAACACAAATAATTAATTATATCCAAAGAAGGGAGACTCCCAATGTGGGAACTCCCTCCAGCAACACTGATTACAACCACCTAGGGCTTAGTAATTAAGTCATAAGGAGTTATCTTAAATAAGCAAAGATTAAGTAACTTGTCATGGGTCATGGGCTAGTAAGTGTATGAGGTAGGATTAAAATTTAGGTCTTCCTTATTCCAATTCTAACTTGCTTCTTCACAGGGACTGACTAGAGAGGTGGTATGGTTTGGTGGAGAGAGAACTGAATTTGGAGTCAGAAAAGCTGTGACTAACTTCACTGTGTGACCTTAGCTAAGTCACTTAACTTCCAGAGCCTCAGTTTCCTCAACTGTAAAATTTGGGAATTAGATTAGTTGGTCTTTAATGCCCCTTTCTACTTCTAACATCCCAAGAGACTTTGAAAATCAAAACAATTCCCCTTTCCCCCAAAATCAGTGAACATTTCAATCTGCTTCCCTATGGTTTGTAAAGGAAAACTTCTTACACCATAGTGTAATCATTTCATTTGAGCCTCCCCTTGAAATCACTGCCAGAAACTATTAGCCAGTACTTTGAAAAGATAGATTATTCAGTGATGTCCTAGGCTGTGCCAAGGGTGTGTATGAGAGGGAGAGAGAGAGGGAGAGAGAGAGAGAGAGAGAGAAAGAGAGAGAAAGAGAGAGAAAGAGAGAGAGAGAGAGAGAGAGAGAGAGAGAGAGAGAGAAGGACAATGTTTAATGGGCTGACCCAAACACTAAAGCACTACACTGATTTCCCTTTAAAAGACACACAACAGCCCGGCATGGTTTCAATTATGTCTATGACGTTAATTGTGCTGCTGTGTCTTGTGGAGTGTCTTCTAGCTAAATTCCTGTGAAAAGAAACAGTGGGAAAGAATGGGATTAAAATTCCATATAAAATAATATAATCTGCCTGGAAAGATGGTGAGTCAGAGTTCTAAGAAATAAATAAGCAAACATTACAAAGCATTCATTTTCCATAAGCTGCCTGGGCATCCATAACCAGGGGCAGGTTATTAATACTCTGTGTCTCACTTTGCTTATTTTAATCATGAGAATTCCATGACTTGAGAACTCAACTCCTGGTAACAGAGCTGAAACCCTATTAACCTGTTCAAATAAGCATTTGCAGGGAGGCTGTTAAAGATATGTCAACAACATGATCTCAGCCCTTTTTTCCCCCTCTGTAATGGAAAACACACATTGCTGAGGTCCATGTTTTATGTGTCTTTAAAGAGAACTCAGTTCAAATGAAAATAAATACGAGGCGTGAGGAGGAGATACACTCACCGGGATGATCTGTCCACATACTCCAATGGGTTCATGTCTTGTAAATGTGAAATAATCTCCATCTGAAACAGACGAGCATGGTCACTCTTTAGAATAGTTTGAACTTAAAGAACCAAAACTACAATGCAAAAGAAGAGTAGGGGAAACTGAGTAGTAGCCAGTAACAGGAAGAGAGATGAAATGTCCACGCTGAGCCACTCCTGGAAGTTCCTGTAGGAGCAATATAGCTGAAAATAGCTGAATCCAAGAATAAAAACAAAAGGAAGACAGTAAAGGCAGAAATGGAGGACATGAGTGACCACATCTTACAATAATCAGAAGTTACTATGCTGAGCACGAGTCTTTAAAAAAAAAAAAGCTACACAATGGGGGAAAAGAAAAACAGAGTAAAATTGGAGTGTCATATAATTTAAAATGATTAAACATGAAACTGAGGATCCTATAAGGAAGGTAGCATGGAACAGTGGAAAGGATATTGGGCTTGGAGTCAGAGAATCTGGGTTCAAATCCTAGCCCTCCCCTCTAAGTGGACCGAAATTGGACCTGGGATTTCATTGGTATAGGGCACTCTCAGGTGAGAGGAAATTCCTTCTATCAAGGCAAGTACTGTGACTATTTATCTGCATCTTAGTCTTAAAGAATTGCTGAGAGTATTAAGAGAAGAAATGAGATACCCAGAATCACACAGTCAATATGTCAGAGGCAGCACTTGAGGCCATATCTTCCTGGTGGCAAGTCTAGCTCTCTAATCATTATGCAACCCTTCCTCCATATGTGACACCTCAGACATTTATGATCTGTGACCATGGGCAAGTTACTTAACACTCTGGACTTCAGTTTTTTCATCTGTAAAATTAGGAAGGTGGATTAAATATTTCTGAAGGTTCTTTCCAGCTCTAAATCTATGATCCATGGCTTAAATTCTGTGAGTTCAGGTTCCTCATCTACAGCAGCCAACATTTAAAATGAAGGCTCTGCATTAGATGATCTCTAAGGCACCTTTCCTCAGGTGGGTGCAAACCCACCTATCTGTGAGACCTTGGGCAAATTGCTTCTCTTTTCTGGGTCTCAATTTCCTCATCTATAAAATGGGGAGTTTAGACTGGATTATTTCTGAGGTACCTTACAACTTAAAATCTATGATCATATCACAAAATCTACAGTAAAAGAGTACCTAATGATCTAATATAGGGCAGCTAGGTGGCACAGTGGATGGAATACTGGGCTTGGAATCAGAATGATTCATCTTCATGAGCTCAAATCTATACATCTACTAGCTGTATGACCCTGGGCAAGTCACTTAACCCCATTTGCTTCAGTTTGTTCATCTGCAAAATGATCTGCAGAAGGAAATAGCAAACCACTCCTGTATCTTGGCCAAGAAAATCCCAAATGGGATCAAACAGATTCAGACAGGACTGAAATGACTGAACCTCATATAATCTAATATACTCAAAATGCCAGCCACTGGAAAGATGTGAGGGCAAAAATACATATATATATTCTTCATACTGTTACCAAAAACCCAATTCAAGGAAAGTCTGAAAATAAACTCAATGGGCCTTAGAAAAGGAAGACAGCCATTTTGAGGGCTTCATAGAATTGTGATCAAGACCACACGTTACAGTGGAAATATTGCTATCTTTGAAATCAGAGGAATTGAGCAATAGCTAGTTGTCACAGTGGGTAGAGCACCAGGCTAAGAGTGAGGAGGATCTGAGTTCAAACAACCTCAGACACTTACTGAGTCCCTGGGCAAGTCCACTTAACCCCAATTGCCAGAAGAAGAAGAAATCAGAGGATTTTAAGTTCAAATTTTGTTTCCGTCACTTATTACCTTTGGGACCATGGACATCACTTAACCTGAGTCTGTCTCTTCATCTTTAAAATCACTTCTAAGTCCCTTTCAAATCTTAATCTACGATACGATGTCAGTGCTTATCTTCAAACAAGTAAGTGAATTGCTGTTACTCTTCCTCCTTCCTCTCTCTTTGTTTTCCTGGGAATAAGTGGGTACAGAGGATGGCTCCTCTGGATGGTTTTGCTAGAAGGAGATAATTACAAAGAAATTTTACTATACTGTTATAAGTTATACTGTTAACATTTCTGAGAAACAGGCAAAGATACCCATCAGAGATAAACCAAGACATGGTCCTCCCAGTGTCTTAGCTTTTCCTAGATAGTAAATACAAAGTACCTTAATTCTTTCAAAGCCATAGAAGACTTTGAAAGAAAGAAAGAAGAAAAGAAGGAAGGAAGGAAAGAGTTTAGCCAAAGTTAAACAAGAAATTAATATAATTATCCAGATTATGTAGCCTCCCAAAATCCAAACCACACTAAAATAAAAAAAAACCTTCCAACATCTTTCTACTTAGAAAAAGAAAATTTATTTGATCCAAATTATTCAGGTTGACTGTCTACATTATTCACACTGATGGACAAAAATAATGGAAATAATGAGGAGAAAGGTACTTTCAGGATCTTTCCTATGTCAAAACAAACTGGAAAAATAAAAAATTCAATCAAACAGTTACCAAAATAAACAAACAAATTCAGACTCAAAAATGATTGTTTTTTTTTCTTTTAAATTGAATTGACTGATTGTTTTGGTTTGGTTTAGACATGGCCAAACATCTTAGGGATGACTAGCCTTCCAGGGAAAAGAAAAGAATAATCTAAAAAATTTGTTCATATTATCAAGCAATGTAGAAGCAACCATGATATAATGGATAGAGAACAGTCTTGGAAACCAGAAGGACCTAGGTTCAAATCTTACCTCGGACACATACTGTCCCAGGCAAATTTCTAAGACTGAAGGTTGCAGGATAGTGGCCAATCTACTTCAGCAGAGTTAGTTTTCTCAGTGAGACTTCTCTATACTAATAAAATTACAGGTCCCATTCAAAAACACCAAAAACAAGTAGACAGTCTTCCTTAACGTCTCTTACAAACAGTTAAACAGAAAAATAAAAGACTTGCCCTCTGCCATTTTTAGAAAGGAGACCAAATTGGAATTACTGTTGGAATTTCCCAGGAAATCCCAAATCTTCAACTCTAGAATCATCAGAAAATAAAAGACATTGGTGAGCAATCAATGAGGTTAGCATACAAATACAAGAAGTGTTGTGATCGCCATCTGTGTGCAGTACTCATTCCTAATGAAACCCCAAAGAATCAAGTGTTTCATTTAGACTAAGGAGTGGAAGGATGGAGTTAATGTATATGAAGGCCTGCAAAATAACGGGGGAGGGGAGTCCCAAGGAGGAAAAATGAGGCTAATGAGTTGAAAGAGGGCAAAGAAAAATTTAGACAAACATTTAAAAAGCTAAGTTCTCAAGAATAGGACTTAGCTTGAAGAAGGGTTTCCCAGGGGACAATTTGGTATTGGAAACATTTAAAACTTTTCTGGATATACCGTTCACATTTCTGACAAACAGGCAAAGATACTCATCAGCAACAGACTAAGACGTGGTCCTCCCAGGGTATTAGCTTTTCCTAGATAGTAAATACAAAGTACCTTAATTCTTTCAAAGCCATAAGAGACTATTTACTGACCATTTACAGCCAGGAGACCAATAGGGAAACCACAGGTCAGGACACGACCAAACAACAACAAAAAGCACATCAGAGCATTTTAGAACAGAATGCTATGTGAGACGTGTAGTGAGGACCGGGGAAAGACAATATGATCATAGATTTAGAGTTAGAAGAGCCCTAGAGGTCATCTGATCCATTCTCCTTATTTTAAAAACGAAGAAACTGAGGCCTAGAAGGGTTAAGTGACTTGCCTGCCAACACACAGGCAGTAGATTAGAGGCTGGGTTTTAATTCAAAGAACAAGCTGGAAATCAACAGATGGAAAGGTTGAGTGAATATTTTCTGGGTACAGGGATCGGGCTAATGATGGGACCAGCTTTTGGCTCTGCTTTCATAATGGCGGTACTTTTATTAAAGTACATTTATTAAAGTGTACTTAAATACTTTTTTTCTAGTCTATTTATCTATCACCTGAAGCATAGAGGAAACAGATGAGAAGCTCACCAAAATGAGTAAGTGCCATCAGAAGATGATGCTGAAATTGTAACATTAAGCACAAATGGAAAGCTATTAGTAAATTTTAATGGACCTGGTAATAATAAATATCCCAATCTTAAAATTTTCTTGGTGATGTTAAATACCAGTAAAGTTACATTTAGTTGTTTTAGTCCTTAAAGCACCTTATGTAAAAGGGAATTCATTTTACCATTGATACTGAGCAGGGTCACAGCCATCCACAGTCCCATGCAAACCCAAGTCTCTTAGCTTTATGGGAAAGCTTGCACAATGGCATACAGACTATTGCTCTCCTGGCAGCCATGAGTTCATCCCCCTACATTCCAACACAAGGGTTCTTAACCTTTTTTTCTTTTTTGCCTCCGATCCCTTTGACAATCCAGTGAAGTCTAGTAGATAAGAGGTTTAGATAAGACAAAGTTTCTTCCCTCAAGGATCTTATAATCTAGTAGGGGGCTAAGTGAATAATAACACAGGTAGAGCATATCAAAGGATTTTAGAACAGAATGCTATGTGAGATGCTAGGGAGGATCAGGGAAAGATAATCAGAATAATGCTTTTACATACATAAAATGCATAGTATTACAAATGAAATGAATTATATTGAAATAGTTATAAATTTTTTTAAGTTTGTGGACCCTAGGTTAAGAACCCCTGATCTAGGCTAAATGCTCCTGGCTATGTGACATAGGGCATTCTGTTTCTCCTCTTTGCCCCAAAAGATAAGTAGAACCTCCTATGTCTGGGAGGGCAAAATAATGACTAGTGATTTTCTTCCATCTTTTATTTACAATATTTGATAATTATTTCTATGCTACAAGAGAAGTAGAAAAGATTATGTTATTCTTGATCTAAGCTCATTCATTTGGCATAGATAAAACTCTGCCCCTCAGTTCAGAGTTATAGTTTTAGGCCTAATAACTTCATGCCTCTCTATAAAACCCTAGCTCCATGACTCAGCAGGCTCAACTTGCATTTACCAGTGATATAGGGAGAACCTTTCAGATAA